CCTCCTCCTCCCTCCTCCTCCCTCCTCCTCCCTCCTCCTGGGCCCGATGCCAGGACAGAATCAAGAATATCGGAGGCCGAAGGAGGCCCAGGTGGCTGGCACGACAAAAACCCTCACCTAGACGTGCCAGCACAATTCCTGGTCCACAGCGTACACTGACCAAGATTTTGCACAACAAGAAAGAAAACGGAGGAGCGTCTCGGATCCCAATTAGCCTGGCGTGAGCCTGTAACTGGGCCTGCCACCACACCCCAATGCTGGCATTTGTTATGGGTGCGCATTTCCGATAATGCCTGCCGGACCTCGATCTGACCGACCTCTAACGCATCTACAGCATGCCTCTTTTTAGGGGCGAATTCTTCTCACCAATGCATGTATCCCACGTGCACTCCACCCAGCACCGGCACCTCTCATGTGAGATCCGTGTGTAGTGACACGCAGTCTCATGCCGTGAGAGTTCCGATCCGTACCGCTGTCCCTATCCTCTTGTTGTTCTGTTAAATTTCTGGCCAAGTGTTTGTTGTGGACCAGGATGCGGGTCTTCGCTAGGCCAACCGCCGTCGTCGTCCTCTCCAACCTCCGGTCTTTTTGGCTCCAGTATGACATTGATCCCTGGTGGGAAGGAAGACAAAGTGCGGTAGATGCTGTGAAAGTCCCTTATAACAGCGCTGGCTTTCAGTCTGATTTGAGGCATGCTTTGGGCATCGTCGAAATCGACGGTCAAACCGTCCTATATTAACTTCGATCATTGCTTGACTTTATCTGTGGCTGTGTCTAGATCAATCGTCCGAAAGACCGGTTGGTCTCCTGAGAAGTTGGATGAGGTGCGCAGGTCCGCACACCTGGTCCTGAATCAACCCGCAGAGTTGAAGCTGGGCAAAATTCTCTGCCGTCTGCCTGAGGTCCTCTACCGGCTGCAAACAGAGCTCCTCTTCCACAAGCTCTGTGAGTACGTCTACGAGGTGAGCTGCGCCTTCACGGAGTTCTACGACTCCTGCTACTGCATCGAACAGGACCCCAAAACAGGCAAGTGTGCGCTTAAATGTTTGGGAGCTCGCGCCATACCGTAGGAGTTTCCCATATGCTGTGTCCGGACGGGTGCTATCTTCTTGATGACTCGGCACTCACACTGAAGGCCTAGTCGTCTGAGGTGGTCATTTCTGTCTGTGACAAAGACAACTTCTTTGACTGGCGGTCCACACAAGAGCAGGGTGGCCTGTGTGTCTATCTCACTCCGTTAGATTTGCTCGTGAAGTCCTTTCTGGTCGTGAAAAAGCGATTAGTTGTGTTGTGGGACGTGTAGATGCTAGGTCATTCACTGCATTCTGGCCCATCTCCAGTTGTCCTGGCTTATGTAGTCCTGATTTTTGAACCCAATGGGCGTGGGAAAAGTGATTGAGGTCGGTCCTGAGCAATTTAGCATCTGTTTCCTTCAGCGTATTGGGCCATCGTATTGTTCGACGACCGATATACATGCCCATTTCAGGTACGGTGCGTAATATGCTAGGGAAGAAAATGTGATTTGGTCATCCTTCGTCGCAGATATGACTTGCCTAATGAATCAGGGGGACTGGGACTCGGCTGTGGCCACGGTTCACCCGAATGTTCCCACCGATTACTACAGGCGGATGTTGAAAAAAAATATTTGAATGACCAGGGGACTGTTGCGATGCATCACCCAGGATTTCGATTCTCTGGCTCACTAAGATAAGCACTGGCATTGAAGCACTTCATCGGTTCGACCAATTCTCTGATTGCTATCTTATTAGACACACGCGTCTGGGATCGACTGGGTTGTAAGGCTGCTCAATTTCAACCGTCTCCGAGCCTTGCCTTTGCCTGTCAAGTGTGTGTGTCAGTCTTGAGGAAATACCTCGATTCCGACTCTTCTCCATTTCCTGGCTTTCTGTTGCCTAGTAGCATCTGTACGACTAGGGCTGGCAACTGTATTCTGGTCGCAACTAATAGCAAAACTGTGTTCAAGCATCGAAAAGCGTTATTGGAGGATGCGGTTGGGTAGAGTGGGGCTGGAGGTGAGCTGAATGGAGTGGCCTATTCACTGTCGCCACCCCGTCGGACGCTAATCCCTAGACCAGAAAGACTTCAGTGGGGAGGCTCGAACGGTGATACTCCTCGATTAGTAATTGGTCGTCGGTGTACGGTCGTCCGCATAGGTTTTGGGACCAAATCCGGAACACCCTTGCAATCAGACCCACGTGGGTAAACACCGTTCTGACGTACTTAAGTGGCATGCATTTTTTCCACTTAGTTCCAATACCTCTAAAAATTCAAATATATTTTATAGACAACAAGTACGAAAACATTCTTTCTTGCACTCATTTAGTAGCAAATTACGTCTTTTTTACAGTTTTTGCTTGGAAAGCACCTTTCGGTTTTAAAAAGGTTTTAGTTCTCGAATGATTTTGAACCCAACCTGCCGTCAAATTTTCATTTAGGGCTTCCTAACTACACGCTGTGTATTTTCCGTGTAAGGAAGATCATACTCTTCTGTATACTATTAGGAAGATGACATATAGTCCCTTACGAATGGACATTCCACAGTCTTAAAAGTCTCATAATTAGAAAATTTTAGAACCGGAAGTACCCTGTCCTAAAGCATAACAGTTGAAGAAGACGTAGTTTGCTATTATACGAAAGAATATTTTTCTGCACGTCTTCTATAAAATACATTTGAATTTTTAAGGGTATTGAAAATCAGTTGGAAGATTGCATACTACTTAAAAAGTCCCTTTTTACGGAGTGTAGTTTTTGCAAGTGGACGGAATGAGGCTCGTTCAAGGGCCGGCATCCTGAAGCAACTGAAATATCTAGGGATTATGCCGCACGACAACTCTAGTAATCTTTTCGAATCGAAAATACATTTCAGAATTTCGATTAAAATTTCAGTTGATAGCACATCTACTATAGTGTATTACTAGGCACACTCGGAATTCGAATCCCCTACCTTCGGCATCGAAAAGCAATGCACCTACGCAGGGGCGCAGAAGGGGCCAGGTCGTGTGTGTGTAGCACACGCAGCCAGCCACTAGCTCCACCGGCCACTGTGCCCAATTGACTGGTCTGGGAAATATGGGAGAACAAGAGTGCGGTCGACCTGCAGCGCATTTTCCTCACTATAATAAATCTGCGGGGGTAAGCTCCGTTCTTCTGTCAGGACGGAGAGTCAGGCTGCAACGGTTCCTTCTTATTGGGCTTTCTACGGCACTCTCTCTCTCAGATGGGACCCAAGCTGCCACCTTGTTTCCACGAAAACTTGATGCATCGTGCGCGGACCAGGCGTGTTTGGCACGCGTAGACGGTCTGTTTAGTTTTGTCAGTCATTGCCCCCGGTCTCATCTCCGGTCTTCTTGACTCTGTCTTGACACTGGGTCCGGGTGAGTCACCGCTCCGGCTGCCACCTTGTTGTGGAGCACACGGTTGACATAACCGGACTCGACATTTGAGCTGTCCTGTGACCACGTCCGAAGTCGAGTCGGGGAGGTTGAGCGAAGAACCTTTGTGGAAGGAGAAGAAGACCCAAACTGCCGGTAGTGATTACGGGCAGGCCTAAGTGACCCGTGCTAGCCCAAAGTCCCTGAAGGCCAGTCAGGAAGCGCTGAAGATGTGAATCACCAGTGGTGAGCAACGTGCGCACTCAACGGTGTGACTTTACGACGGCGGCAGCTGCGGCGGGATGCCTAAGCGTCCCGAAACTCCGTGAAACTACACTGTTACACGGTCTACTAGCAGTATTTCAGACAACACTGCAGTCCTTTCATCGAGTCAACCTGAAATGTGATATGGACTATTTGAACGGCCTTCATTTGTGGAACGGCTTGAGGCCACCTTGTGATACAGACTTGTCCTAGTGTATTGCCGAAATTTCGGGTCGTCTGACTTTCCCGGGAGTGTCCTGTGTACGGGGAGTGGATTTGCGGTTTGTTTAAGGCGCGGTGAGGGTTTGGACTTATAACGATGGTCTCTTCCGCAATTAGCGCCCTCTCGAATTTCAACCTAATTGGTTGACGATTTTTGTGTCCTTAGGACTGCTGTGGCGCTCAATTTTCCAGGCAAATGTGTTGCGTTCAGTTTTTTTTTCATGTTCGGTTTCCGAGTTCGTGTGGCTGGCCTCCGTTGGCTACTTTGCAACATTTTGGAATTTCATAGATATTTTGGCAGATTTTGAATGGTTCATATTGACCCAACTGTGAAAAACTCGGCGCCTCGGTGGGATTCGAACCCACGCAGCAAGGGGAAGGCTTTAGTACAGTCAACGCTCTAACCACCTGAGCTACGAGGCCCCGCCGGACGACGCGAGTTTACTCACATTTGGGTCAAGTTATTAGGTGGTTAGAGCGTTGGCTGTACCAAAGCCTTCCCCTTACTGCGTGAGTTCGAATACCACCGAGGCGCCGAGTTTTTCACAGTTGGGTCAATATGAATTTTGGAATTTCTTCTGCTTCATTTGTGTGTTATTAATTGCGTAGTCATCACATGCAGCGGACGCGATTGTCTTTTTCGCGTCTTTGGATATTTTTGGTGTTTTCTGATTGCCTTGGCTACACGGACGACTGCTGCTTTGACGGCGACAGTGGACGGTGTAGATTAGAAAACCTCCTACCTTAAGGACACCAGAATTGCCATTTCTGACTAATTAATTTTGACCCCATTTTGGAAAGCTCGACGACCACGGTGAGATTCCCGGCTCCCGGCGGGGCCTCATAGCTCAGGTGGCTAGAGCGTTGGCTGTACTCAAGCTGTCGTGAGTTCGAATCCCACTTGCATCGCCGAGTTTTTCACAGTCGGGTCAAAATAATTTATTTAAAATCTGTCAAAATACCTCTTATTTGTCGTCATCAGCCAGCTGTATTGTTGCTCCGGTTACTCAGAGTCCATTGAGCACTTTGAGCCCAACGCGCGTGAGCTACTGATTTCGTGTGCACTCAAATGACATCGCGACAGTTCGCATGCATTACGAGTTTGTCCTTCACATACAGTAGGTGCGCTAACTCATGAAATCTCAACAGAAATTACGAAATGTGTTTTCGTTTCGAAAAGATAAGTTAAGTAGGGTTGTAAGTACAATCATCATGCAGCACAATTCTATAATAATTCAGTTGCCCCTGGACGCCGGCTTTCAAACGAACTTCTTTCCGACTGCATGTAAAAACCACACTCTGTAAAAAATGACTACTTAAGCAGCACGCATTTTTGTCAATGATCTTCGATGCCCTTGAAAATTCAATTATATTTCATGAAAAAGATATATGAAAACATTTATTCTTCTACTCACTCGGTAGAAAATTACGTCTTCTTCCGATTTTGTACTTGAAAGAAGAGTATAATTCGGTTTCAATAAAGTTTCTCATTGTGAGATTTTTTAATACCGTAAAATGGCCGTTCATAAAACGTCATGTATCTTCATTTACGAGTGTGGCCTGTAAAGTTAGCAATATTGCTCAAATCCACTGCTTAATTTCATGAACCCCATATAGTCTCCTCTTAATACCGTAGAGAAATGTATGTATGGTTTTCCGTACACGGAAATTATATGGCTTGTAGTTTGGGAACCATAAATGCAAGTGTAACGGCAGGTCGGATTCAAAATTATTCCGGAATTGGAAAAGTTCTATAAAACCGAATTGTACCCTTCCTTCGAATGTAAAATTGAAAGAAGACATAATTTTCTAGCGAATGAGCAAAAGAATGAATATCTTTGTGCACGTTTTCCATGAAAAATAATTGGACCTTTAAGGACATCGAAAATCAATGAGAAAAATGCACGCCACTTAAGTAGTCACTTTTTCGCAAAGTATGGTTTCTGCATGCAGCTGAAAAGAAGGTCATTCGACGGTCAGCGTCCTGGGGTAACTCAATTATTATAGAATTGTGCTGCATGACGATTGGTTTTACAACCCTACTTAATTAATCTTTTCGAAACGGAAACGCATTTCAGAATTTCTGTTGGGATTTCATGAGTTATCCCACTTACTGTATGTGTCCTGATTGCAGGACAGACCTGGCCGCTTCTGTGTTCACCCTGAAGGTCCGAGTCTAGGACCCATGCAGA